GTGAGTTTGTGGGGCTTTTTGGTATTTTTTAACTTTCTGGAAGTTGAATTTTTTTTCTTATATGTGAGTTAGTGAAAGAGAAGCCATAGGGACCAGCAGATGGCTTAGCGGTTATGTTGCTAGACTCCCACATGGCCAACCGAAGTTCAAGCCCCCGACTTGGTGGCTTCAAACTCAAGTCAAGTGAATATGCATGCACGCCCAAGATCCTGGGAGGAGATTAGAGCGTGGCCATCCCCCCAGGTGATTTCTTGCTTTCTGTCTCTCTGTCTCTCCAGCGACCGCACATGCCAAATAGCAAAAATCTCTTTAAAAAGAAAAAAGAAAAAAGAGCGAGAGAGAAGCTATGCTCCCCTCTTCCCAGCCCTCCAGCTCCTCAGGGTCTTGGGTGCCCACGCATGCACACCTCACATGTTTTCAGGCCAATGTGGGGAGTCAAACATGGGTTTGGGGAGCTGTGATGTAGCTTCCAGCTCTGCAGTATGCTACGCACTGCACCACCTGCGCTGGGCCTGGGAAGGTGACTTTTGATATGTTGTTTGTGGGAGCAAAAAGATATTTCAGACAGCAAATTCTCAGAGACCAAAGTGAATGGGGCCTGAGGTGGGAGCAAAGTGGGTGGACCAGTCAGCACAGAGCCAAGGAGAGGACAGGACAGAACACACGGCCCCCCACTTAGGGTTGTTACTGGGTCCCAATGGGGTCAAACCGAAGCCCACAAGGCCCCACTTCTCTGACCCACTTTGTGCAAGATCCCTCCATGCACTCGGTCCCCCACTTGTCTGTGTGCTCCTAGATCACGCAAGGTTTCCACCTTATTGTCTGCCCTGATCTCAGTGTGGCCCACCACTTCCTGTGGCTCCGTCTCAGGTGGAGATACACTGGCTCCTCCACTGGGTCGTTCATTCGGAGGCAGCAGGTGAGCACTTCAGTGTGTGCTCCGAGGGCTGCACAGGGAGTCAGCAAGGTTAATAAGTAACTGTTCCGTGCATTCCAGCTGGACAAGTACTAAGAGAAAAAGAAAGCAGGAAGAAGAGAACGTTGGGAAGTGGCAGGTTCAGGCCATGGACAGGGAAGGGAATCCGGAGGGAAGTGTTCTAGGCAGACCAGCTAATGCACAAGCCCTGACAAAGGGGTCACTGAGATATGGGGACCTCTAAACCCTGGTGGCTCAATCTCAGCATTTTCTTTTCTTTCCTCCCCTTTTTTTTAAAGTTTTGCCAGAGGGTGCATGCACCTGCTGAAGAAAGCAAGCAAGCACCGCCCTGGCGCGTTGTCATGCCACAGTCCCTTTTCCATCTCTCCTTCCTTTCAGGATTTTGGGCACATGCGCACATGTTCCCTGTGCGTTTCTCAAACTGTCAGGTCCGGGGCTTGAACTGTGCAGGTGTCCACCCGGGATATAGCTGTCTTAATCACCAGGCCACAGACTTGTCCCCCACTTTTATTTATTTATTTTTTAGTTTATTTCTTCCATGAGAGAAAAAGAGAGACAAGCGTTCCCAACAGGGTCTTCATGCCACAATCCGCCTCCAGCCTCGGCTAGCCCTGGGTCTTGGGCATGTGCCCAGTGTCCTCAGGGAGGACTTGGATGTGAGCCCAAACCTTCTCATCTGGGTCGGCCTCACCAGCATCGAGTTTTTTGTTGTTTTTCTGTTTGTTTGTTTTTGCTATAGAGTGCATGCACTCACCAGAAAGAGAAATAGAAGGCGAGAAATCTCCCCCCAGGGGGGATGGCCATACCGCAATCCCTTCTCCTCCATTCTCCTCTCAGGATCTTGGGCACACATGCACACGCGCCCTGTGTGAGTTTAAGCCACCAGGTCTGGGACTTGAACCGCAGTTGACTACATAGGAGTCCAGCAACATAGCCATTTCGCTAACTGCTGGTCCCGAGCGTCAAGATTTTTGTTTTTGTTTTTCTATTTTTGGAGAGGGTTTTTTTTTTGCTATAGGGCGCATGCGCTCGCCAGACAGAGAGACAGAAAGCGAGAAATCACCCCTCAGGGGGGATGGCCACGTTGCAATCCCTTCTCCTCCATTCTCCTCTCGGGATCTTGGGCACTCACGCACATGCGCCCGGCGTGAGTTTAAGCCACCGGGTCCAGAACTCGAACCACAGTCGACTACGTGAGAGTCCAGCAACAGCCATTACGCTAACTGCTGGTCCGCGGAGCATCAAGTTTTAATGCTGTGTCACCATCCAGGCCCTGATATATGTTTTATTTTTTTTTATTATTATTTTCTGATATGTGTTTTTGAGACGTTCTGTCTCTCCACTGCCACCGCTGCATCTCCAGTCCCAGGGCAGCACACTGCCCAGCACTCAGCATTGGGCACCATTCCCACTGCTTCCAGGGCACCCGTGTGGAGGGAGTGCCATGCCGCTCTAAAGACAGAAGAGTTCTGGAGGACACCTGGCTTGAAGGAGCCATGCTGTGTTGGTCAAGCCTGTCCTCTGGGCCCCAAGCCTGGGGCTCTTTCCCGCATTTCCTGCCTTTCCATGAGAGGGCTGAGGTGGGACCTGTCCACCAGGCAGCCCCAGGCCTGAGTGCCTTGAAGCTCTCTGCCAAGAACCTGTGTGTCTGAGGGGGTGGAGCTGAGGGCTACCTGGAGGCGGAGGCGCATGCAGCCAGGTTGCAACCTGTCCCATACCGCCACCTTTTTCAAGAGCGGTGGCGCTTCCTTCTGCCTTGTCTTGGGCAGTCAGGTTATTTGTAGTGAAGGGCAGCAGCTGGGGCTGCCACTCCCTGGTCCTGGGTCTGTCACCCACATCAGCAGGTTCCAGCCGGTCTGTGCAAGGTTGCCCACCCCTGCCCAGCCAGACCTTGCCAGCACCTTGTAAGCAGTGGCCAGACCTCAGGCTCCACACTGCCTGGTTGCTCTGAGCTGACTGCATTTAGCGGGGTGTGCCGGCGCCTGCATTTTAACTGCAGTCAGGCACCCTCTTCTGTACTGTGCATCATTCATTGCCTCCCCCCAAAGCCTTAGGTTTGGGGTGCCAGACCAGGCATCTGTCAGGTAGGGAGGTGGCTCCTAGGGTGGGCAGGACTGACGTGGAGGCACACATCACTTGCATGCTGCACCCAGTGCAGATGAGGGAGGGTTGGGGTGTGAACCCACATGTCACTTTGGCTGTCTGAGTGGTGGGACCAAGGGAGGTGTTCGCCCTCTGTATTTGCTTTTATACAACCATCACAGATTACTTGAGCACATTTTCAAAAACGTAGTAACAATACCACGTGAAGGGGCTGGGACTGTGCCCGGTATGGAGCAGGTGCTCCGAGGGGTGTGGGTGGGTGCTGGCTCTGAGTGCTCCTGCCCTCCTGAGTCTGCGTCTCCTGGTACCAGCTCCGCTGTGCAGCCTCTACCCCAGTCTGTGTCGTTGCTCGAGTCTGCAGGGGTCCTTGGCACAGATGGCCCTATGTGCTCTTGTTCCCTCCCTGGAGTCTGCAGGTCCCTCTCCTCCAGTCACTCCCAGTTTCCTCTGGCTTCTGACCCAGTGACTTCTGCCTTGCCTAGGGCCCAGGGAGGGGGAGCAGCATCCCCAGGAGCCCGGAGCAGCTGATTTATGAGCTCAAGCTGCCCTCCCCTCCTCTCCCCTTCTCTTCCCTCTCTTTCCACCCCTTCCCCTTTCCTCCCCTCCCCCAGGCTTGGACAGCTGGGCCCGCCAGCCAGCCAGCTCAGCTGTTTGTCCAGAGGCCCAGATCACTGCAGGCCCGGGAGTCTGTTTTTACTTCCAATCCCAGGAGCCTCCAGGACTTTCCCAGACTGTGCTTGTCCTCTGAACCCGCATTAGCGGCACTGGGAGTTTCCGGCTACCTGCCCTTCCCAGCGCAGTGGGAGGCTCCTCCAAACCTCGTACCCATCCCTCTGCCCGCCTTCTGCCCTCGCTGAGCTGCCCTGTTTGGTTTGGAAGGAACTGACCTGCAGACTCTCTCTGGGGAGTTGTGTGTCTCTGCCTCTCCTTTACAACATGAGTGCAGACTGGGCTGCCCCCTCCCAGAGTGGCAAAGTTACTCTGGCAGAAGACCCCTCAGCCCCCCGTCTCTCCCTGTGTGGGTCTTAGATCCCACAGGTCCTCTCGTAGACAGACTCCTGGCCACCTCTCCGGAAGCCAGTCTTCGGTGCATCCTTGGCCTCAGCTGAGATGTCTCCTGTACACCCTGTCTCGGGTTTGGGCCAGCATGCCTCTCCCTGCCCCTGCACCAGAGTGGGGACCGGATCTACATCCTTCTCTCATAGTCTAGCCCTTTCAGGGTGGGTGATGCCCCCGTTTTCAGGGACAGGCCTTGCTACTGGAAGTCAGAGCACAGGCCATCCGTCCCGGAAGGAAGGTCTGGCAACATCCCCTTGGGCTGGGCGTGTACCTTTGGTGGCCGATGGTCGGAGCCATGAGCTACTTTCTTTCTTGGGAGCAGATTTCTTCCGAGTTTTTTGTTTTTGTTTTTGTTTTTGTTTTTTTTCACTTGGGCCCCTGGGAAAGGGACTTTCTGAGTCTGCCCCACCAGGGTCCTGGGAGCTGTGGTTGGCATAGCCAGAGTTGGGGGGTGGGAATCAGCAGGGTCGCCTAGGCCAGGGCCACCACAGAGACCCCAGCACCTGGGGGTGGGGTGAGGTCCTTGTGGCTGTGACTGGTTGGAGAGGGTGAAGCCGAAGAGTCCCAGGACAGCTTCAAGGAGAAGAACACCAGGCCTCAGTTCCTGGAGCTGGAGGGAACAGCTGCCCCGGTGCTGACCCCACTGGGTATTTCTGTGTGCCTGGGCCTCCTCTCTGCCCTCCTGTAGGCTCTGACCTGGGAGGCCCAGTAGCCTTTGCATTTCTACCAACTGGCTCTGGAAAGAGAGGCTTGTGAAGTTTCCCTTTCTGTTTGGCTGGAGTTTTATGGTTTGTCAGAAAACAGGTTAACAATTAAGCTAATTAACTCAGGGCCTGCTGGCCCTCCTTGTTCCTATAAAGCCAGGCTAAATGGCTTCCTCCCCAGCTTCTCCTGTCCCCATTATAAGGCCACAGGTGGCCAGAGTAAGCCTTAGAGCATTAACCAACCCTGAGACAGGCCAGCCTCCAGGTACAGAGGTTTTCGGTTTCGGGGGAAGTGCACTGCAGCGTGGGGAAGCTGAATGGTTGCTGAAGCTGGCCTGGCCGGGGGGACTACCTGCTGGGCCTGGGGAAGGGGCCCCAGGCTGCCTGGCAGGGTCTCACTGATGCCGGGCGCACCCTGATGCTTAATGTCTCCTCCCGTTTCTCCAGGTCTCGGTGGGGGCCGCCAGCCAGGCAAGATGAGGCGGTTCCTGAGACCCGGACACGATCCTGCCAGGGAGAGGCTCAAGAGGGACCTGTTCCAGTTTAACAAGGTGATGAGTGTGTGGAAGGCCGGAGAGGTGACCCTGGGTTTCGGCTGGGCCTGGGGGGTTGGAGTCAGTCTGCTCCTTACCTAGATGAGGTTCTTGGCACTGCCGAGATGCCTCGGGGATCCGACTTTGGAAATGGGGTTTGGCGAATGGGCTTCTCTGGGAAGGGGCAGTAGGATGCCCGGGCGTTGGGACTCATTGTCCCAGGTCTCCCACTGGCTGTGTGACCTCCGTGTCACCCTGCCTCATCCAGCTGCAGTTTTCCCATCTGTAAAGCAGGCCTGACACGATCTTCCCTGCCTCCCCGTCACAGGGTTGTTAGGGAAGCCCAGGGACATAAAAGATGAAGACTGTCCAACCGCCAAGGTATAATAACGTTGCCATGACGCCAGGAGGAAGCCTGACCTGGCGTTGCAGGCCCTGGCCGTTCCCTCCATCCTCAAGTTGCCCCCAAAGGAAAACAGCTTTCCCGCAGACTGAATGCATTGGTTCTTCTGGCAGGCTCCAGGTCTGGGTGAGGGGGTGAGGTGCCCAGAGATTGGGCCAGACTTGGCATTTGACTGCCCCAATCCCAACCTGCTCCTAAACCCCAGCAGTCCCACAGAGCATCCTGCCCGGGGGGCCAAGGCCTCAGAGTCCGGCCAGCTATAAACAGAGGCGCACAGCGGGGCTCATTAGCTCATTAGCTTGGGGCGACCTAGCAATCTGGAGCTGTTTGGGGGTAATTAGCCTTTTCACCACCGCTTTGGTCGCTCTGACCCAAGGGGTACAGCAGGGAGGGGGACACCACATGCTCCTCCCTGCCTCCTGGGCTCCAGGACCCAACAGGACATGCCATGAGTGTTGGGGGTTTGGCTCTGGGCTTCCTGCCCCCGCCCCAGAGGAACCAGCGGAACCTCGATAGTCTGGGAAAGGAGCTGCTCCCTGCAGGGGACGAGGGCTTCCCTGGTCCAGTTGCTTTGCTGTAGATTGGGAGTGCGCGAGTCTGCTTGCCCAGGTTCAGAGCCAGCTTTGCCACCTCAAAGCCGGGCAACTGTGCCTGTCACCCACGCCATAGGCTCGTAGTGGGTTTCTATGGAGTTAGGTCATTTAAGCACAGGGCACAGTGGCCCAGGGATGTTAGTGGCTGGGTGGGTTTTTAGGGGTGGGAAGGGGTTAAGAGAAGTGGGTCAGGGACCCCGACCTGGCCGCCATCTCCCTCCTGTTTTCTTGGCCTGTGGGAGAAGGCGTCACTGGTGGCACTTTGCTGTGAGGCCTCTGGAACCAGGACGGGCCTCAGGAGATGGGGGTGTGTGTGCTGGGAATGGGGGAATCTCGGGGCCTGGGCTTGCCACCCTCATCCCCTCAGGAGCAGTCTGCGGGTGCTGGGCGTGGGTCTCAAAACGCAGCGTGCACTGGGGGCCAGCCGACTCCCGTGTGCCCCTGTGGCCCTTGGTGAGCTGGGATCTCTGACTCGAGAGGTGGCAGTCCCAGCAGAAACCGGACAGACAGGCTCCTCAGTGAGGGCAGAGCCCCTGCTATGTATGCCACGTGCAGTGGGTGAGGCTGGGGTGGGGCTGGGGTGGAAGGGGCGTGTCTGTCCCTCCGGTCCCCACTGGTGGTCCCCAAAAGTGGCCACCTCACCCCAGGCCTTCTAGGGAGGAGGAGGCTTGGAATTCCTCCAGACTCCTCTACTTCCCTTGTCCATTCACATGCAAGAAATGTGCACCTGGGAACCAGCAGTTAGCGTAATGGCTATGTCACTGGACTCCCACGTAGTCGCCCGCGGTTCGTGTCCCGGACCCGGTGGCTTAAAAACTCACGCCGGGCGCGTGTGCGTGCATGCCCAAGATCCCGAGAGGAGAATGGAGGAGAAGGGATTGCGGCGTGACCAACCCCCTGGGGGGTGATTTCTCGCTTTCGGTCTCTATGTCTCTCTCTGTCTGGCGGGCGAGCGCACGCGCCCTACAGTGAAAATCTCTCCAAAAAAAAAAAAGAAAGAAATGTGCACCTGGGAACCAGCAGTTAGCGTAATGGCTATGTCACTGGACTCCCACGTAGTCGCCCGCGGTTCGTGTCCCGGACCCGGTGGCTTAAAAACTCACGCCGGGCGCGTGTGCGTGCATGCCCAAGATCCCGAGAGGAGAATGGAGGAGAAGGGATTGCGGCGTGACCAACCCCCTGGGGGGTGATTTCTCGCTTTCGGTCTCTATGTCTCTCTCTGTCTGGCGGGCGAGCGCACGCGCCCTACAGTGAAAATCTCTCCAAAAAAAAAAAAGAAAGAAATGTGCACCTGGGAACCAGCAGTTAGCGTAATGGCTATGTCACTGGACTCCCACGTAGTCGCCCGCGGTTCGTGTCCCGGACCCGGTGGCTTAAAAACTCACGCCGGGCGCGTGTGCGTGCATGCCCAAGATCCCGAGAGGAGAATGGAGGAGAAGGGATTGCGGCGTGACCAACCCCCTGGGGGGTGATTTCTCGCTTTCGGTCTCTATGTCTCTCTCTGTCTGGCGGGCGAGCGCACGCGCCCTACAGTGAAAATCTCTCCAAAAAAAAAAAAGAAAGAAATGTGCACCTACTATAAATACACCCCTGGGCCTGGGGCTGTGGGCGTCTCAGGGGATGAGGTCCTTTGATTGTCTGGAGGGAGGGAGATAGGAGTGAGGCTGAGCCACACACAGCCCTCTTAAGCTCAGGGAGGCTGTGGAGCCCTGAGGGAGGGCTTGGAGGGTAGAGGACCTGGGACCCTGGCTGGTTCTACCCATCCCCTCTCCCCGCCTCAGGCTTCCCCTGGGCTGTGGGGTGACGAGAGGCTGGAATGTGGGGTCTGGGGGTGGCCTGACCTGACCTGAACCAGCCTTGGTAGGTTTTGGACGCTGGAGGGGGTGGTCCCATTTCCAATTTAGGAAAAATAAATCCGGGGATGTCTTTACTCATAAAAGCAGGTGACTCGGGGCAGGCAGACCTTGACAGTGACCGGATGGGACCAGAAGGCAGGAGCCCGGAGCCCGCCGGTTGAGGGAGAGCAAAGCACCTTGATGGCCTGAGCAGGTCTCGCCCTCAGAACTGTGCAGGGTGGTGCATCCCAGCCGTCCGGAAACACCCCTGCCCCACTGCTGCTGTCGGTCCTGCCCCTCCCTGGATGTGACTACTGGAAATGGCCCCTGGGAGGGTCAAGTCGTCCCTGGTTGAGAACCGCTGGAATACGGAGCTAGTTAGGACAGAAGTTGGTGAGGCCTGGGCATAGACCCAGGTGTAGACCCAGGCCCTGCCCACTGCGGGGTGGGGGTGGATTGGTACACAGGGAGGGGACTGAGGAGGGAGGTGGGGGCCCAGGATGGCCGTGGGGGGGTCTCTGTCCTGGGTGGGCTTTGGTGCTAGAGGGGAGAGGAGCAGGTGAGGGCGACTGAGAGGTTTGGGTTGGTTTGATTGGACAGAATAGCAGCGGCCTCCATCTACCAGAGGCGGTTGGCCCGTGATCAGTACGCTGGCCCACACCCCACTGCCTCACTCACGCCGCAGGACCTCAGGCAGGTCTCTGGCTCTAAGATGGGGGCAGTAGAAGCTACCTAGAGCTGGTGTGGGCCGAATGAGTTAAGGCGTAAGTGAAAGGGACCCAGGTGGCTAGTGGCTGCAGAGTGGTGCAGGGTGTCCTAGAGGGGGAAGCCGTGGGTCCCTCGTGAGGGCAGGGCCAGCGCCTCACAGCCCAGGCTGCCAGTGCGGACATGGGTTTGCATGTAGGTGAGGGTCGGCCCCCCCAGCCCCCAGTGTAGGGAGCGGCCCAATTCGAACAAACATGGTGACCTTTAGACTGTTCAGTCGGGCTCCCCACGTTCCGGAGTGTCCACACGAGTGTCTCCAGCCTGTCTCCATTTTCCTGCAAGGCCAGTCTGCAGGCGCCGTGCTGGCCCCTGGCAGGGATGCCGTTGGGACAGTGGCACCATCACAGGCCCAGCCCTGAGCCGTTGTCTCAGGTTAGATACTGGCTTCTTACCCAGTTCTGGACCTCCTTCCCCCGGACCTTCTGGCCAAATTCCTTTACACCCACACCACAGAGATGCCTTAGGGAGCAGGGCCATCGCCCTGGGGGCCCCGAGTCAGGACCTGGGGAGGACTGTCACTGTGCACCGTCTCTGAGCTGGCTGGCAGCAGGCACCTCCAACTTACCAAGTGCTGAGTGCAGTCATCCGCGGGCCTGGTAGTGCGGTGGGCAGGGCCTGAGTCCAGATGCAGCCGCCTCTTCACTGTGCACCAGGGCCTGCTCCTCAGGCTCCTCGGCTCTAAAGTGGGCATTGTAGGGGAGTGCAGCTAGCTTCCCTGCGCCTCCTGGTTCTTTGGCGGGGTGCTTACTTACGTACGCGGACAGTGGAATATCAGATAGTCAGAAAAGTCGTGCAGCAGCCCCCTCCTGGTACAGGAGGTCACTCATGTAGCTTTCCTGTGTGTTTCTTAATTTTTTTCTATTGCTATAGAACAGACAGGGA